GCTGCTCCCCCAGTACCTCCATGTCTTCACCAACCCAGATGCTCCCTGACCTCTTTTGTTTAAGGGTTTTTTTTTTTTTTTTTTTTGGAAGCTTCATGATGTAGGCACAACTGATCAGATCATTGGCCACTGACTTGATCTCCTGCTCCTCTGCCCTGGAGTTTAGGGGTAGGGCTCAAAGTTCCAACCTTCCCAGAATCAACTTATTTTCATCAATTCTGGAATGGGTAAAATGGGCTCATTATGAATAAACAACAAAAAACCCCATTCCTATCACTCATGAAATCTCAGATTTTTTAGGAGCTCTGTGCAGGGATCCACAGACAGAAGATCTATTTTTTTTTAATCCCACAGGGTGATATTATCAGGACTAGACATAACCATCTCTGGCCCAAACCATCTGTGCCCAAAGATGCTGGTTTTTTCCATAGCTCAGGTAAAATTAGTTGTTCTCTCTGAGTCCCCTCGGGCACCAGTGATTCTCCCTATCGTGGTGTGCCATTTTCACACTGTTCAGTAGTTTTTAGCTCGCCTCTGTTCCCCAGCATCTAGCACATTATCATTGCTCTATCACTGTTGATAGAGACTGAGAGAACAGAAAGCAGAGCCTGGGGATGCTGACATCTGTGGTCTGTGTTCGAGCCGGTCTGGTGTTAATTCCTAGTTCTAACAAGCGTCTGGGGCCTGAACCCGGACTTTGTTAACTGTATTTCCCAGTCATGAGGGTTTCCTGAGAATCTCAGCTCTGGTATCCTGCTCTTGAATCTGTTTGCAGTGTTGAAAGGAAATGAAAAATCATTGATTGGTTTCAGCTGAAAAATAAAACGGGGTTTGGGGAAAAGTAGGTGATCTTGACACCATCTGTCTCACAGAACATGTTATACAGACTCTGCTGGTTTGGATAATATGCTGATTCTACCAAATAACTTTTCAAGTCAGTTTTCGGGGTGTGTTATGATTTATAAAGAAGCCATCAAAACCTTAGAAGTTTGGCATTTGCATGAATGTTTCAAAACTGTTAACAAATTCAGAGAATTTTGTTGAAAAGTAGAAAAGTATGTGTGAACATTTATATATACATATATGCTAAATAGTCAGCAGTTGTTTACTTTTCTTGGTTTTTGCCTATTTGATGCCTTTTAACCTTACAAAAAAGATAACACATTGGAGCATTAAATACACTTTGGGGTGGGCATTTGACACAGTGATTAATCACTGCTTGGGCTGCCAGCATCCCATAGTGGAGTTCCTGGGTTTAAGTCCTACCTGCTGTTCTTCTGATGCAGCTTCCTGGTAATGCTCACCCTGGGAGGCAGCAGGTGATGGCTTGAGTATTTGGGTCCCTGCCATCCATGTGGGAGACCCATATTGAGTTCCTGGCTCCTGGCTTTGGCTTGGCCCAGCCTTGGCTGTTGTGGGCTTTTGGGGAGTAAACCAGCAGATGGAGGATGGCTGTCACTCTTCATTTGTCTGTCTCTCTGTGTGTGCCTGCTCTTCAAATAAAAATGCACCCGCATGGGAGACCAGGAGAAGCACCTGGCTCCTGGCTTTGGATCAGCGTGGTGCACCGGCCGCAGTGCGCCGGCCGTAGTGGCCATTGAGGGGTGAACCAACAGAAAAGGAAGACCTTTCTCTCTCTGTTTCACTGTCCACTCTGCCTGTCCAAAAATAAATAAATAAATAAATAACAAGTAAATAAGTAAATAAATAACTTAAGTTAGCTTTCTGTATGCACGGGTTCCATAGCCACAAGCTTCTTATCTGTGGATGCAAACTAACCACAGATCAAAAATACTTGAAAAAACAATTGCACTTGTGCTGGACATGGTACGGACATTTTTTCTTGTCATTATGCCCTAGAGAATACAGTATAACAACCATTTCCATAGAATTAACATTGTATTAGATAGTATAAGTAATCTAGAAATGATTTAAAGTATACAGTAGGTTGTGTGTAGGTTCTATGCAAATACTATGCCATTTTATATCAGGGACGAAAGCATCTGCAGATTTTGGTATCTGCTGATATCCTAGGACCAATCCCCATGGATACTGAAGGATGACTGTACTGTCTTTGCTGATGCTTAATTTGAATGGCAGTTCAGGAAAGTTCTTTTGCTTGTTTCAATGGTTAAGAGAATGCTTGAAGTATATAGAGCTTTACACAATGAAAGGTATGTCATAATCCATGCCAGTCAACAGTTTTAGCAACTGGGGTATCAAGAAAAACTCTCAGCAATAGAGCGACTCTACAGGAAGAGCGCAATACTAGTGTCAAGTCTAGGTGATCTAGATTTTGTTTCTCCTGAATTTTTTATTTCTGGAAAGCAACTTAACCTATTGAAAGGTGAGTTATATCCATTTTAAAAACTGAACCACTATCCACTTGGCTAATTGAGGAGGGGGTAGATAACATAAAGTAGTGTATCTGTTCCTGCTAGGGAGCCCATGGAAAGTATTTGTCTACCTAAAGTTATCCTACAGTACTAACTGGTGTTAGCTTAGGAATTCTCTGCTCTGACACAGACCGGGTCCAGTGAGAACCCTCTCTGTTATTAGCAGGTGCACGTCTGGAAATAGCCTATTGTATGCTATGCCTTTGGGATTGATTTGGGCCTGCTGGGATCCTTTGTAAGCATCAGGCTTTAGTTCTACCTCTTTCCCTACCCTGCGCGATTGGCTGTTTGACTGTAATGTTAGAAGTTCAATTCTTTCTCTGCCTCTGATGAAATTATAGCACAAGCCTAAATCTTTTTGCCTAGTTTCTACCGGCCCCTTTCCAGAGACTGCTGACTGCTTGCAGAGTCATTGGTGTCATCTTGCCCAATTCTCCGGGAACAACACTTGATCTCAACTGTCTTGAAGAAGTTCCCCGTCCCGAGGTTTTGGTGTACTTCTTATACTTTATGCCCATTATGTGACACTGACCCTGGTCTGCATCAAGTTTGAGTGTACAATGTGTCTTGATTTTATTGTAGACTAGCTTCCAGTTGGGGAGAGGCTGCCCCAATTAGTCTGGTCTTCTTTCTCTGCACCGTTAACTCCAAAATCTTTTTCTTTTTTCTTTTTTTAAGATTCATTTTATTTATTTGAAAGACAGAGTTGCAGAGAGAGGTAGAGACAGAGAGAGAGGTCTTCCATCTGCAGGTTCACTCCCCAGATGGCTGCAATGGCTGGAGCTGAGCCGATTCGAAGCCAGGAGCCAGGAGCTTCTTCCGGGTCTCCCACATGGGTGCAGGGGCCCAAGGACTTAGGCCATCTTCTATGGTTTTCCCAGGCTATAGCAGAGAGCTGGATGGGACGAAAACTAGCTGGGATTAGAACTGGCGCCCATATGGGATGCCAGCATTGCAGGCGGTAGCTTTACCTGCTACACCACAGTGCTGGCCCCAACCAACTGTATTTTATAAACTAAATTTAACTTGCAGTTTGAATATCTATAAATAACGGCGTACGTCATTCCCAGATATTATTATGATTCTATCTCTTTTAATTATAGCTCTCAAAAGTCTTGGTATATATATTAAGGAGATTGATCAGTGGCATTGCATAATAAGTGATAGCATAGTCAAATATTTGCAAGGGCCAGAAGACCTTGGGAAATGGAAAGGTTGAAGAAACTCCCTGGTGGTTGTTTTTCTTTTAAATAGAAGAAGACACGTGAGTTATTGGAATTACAATCTCAGGAAAAGGAAAGAAGATTTTGTATCTAGGTCTCCTTTTTCTTATTATGTCAGCAAATACTAATTGTAAAATTCCTCAAATAGGCCTCATAAATAATTTTTGACAAAAATGATTGCGAACCAGCCAAACCAGCTGATATCCGAAAAACAAATGCCGAACTCTAAGCAATTGTCAGTTTTTTTCCCACTTTCCTAAGTTTAAGGAAGAGAATTAACTGTGGATAAGAATAAAAAAGAAAAGGCATCTAAGGGTAAGAATTAGCTTGAGCTAAAATGCAAAGTTAGTGCCGTCGACAAGACTACATACATGGTGCCCTCTTCATGCTCTTTGCCTTTTATTTATTTATTCACAAATTTAGTGTAAAATACATGTTTAGAATCTGAGGAAAGTTGTCAAATCTGAACTTATGTTCCAAAGAGAAGCAGATATTTTTATATATTTCAATATTAGGTGGTATAGAGACTGAATTGACCCTCAGTCCATTCTCTCTTTGAAATAAATTATTGACAACATCTTATATATTCTAGGAAAGTATTCTCTTTGCATGCTTTCTGGACATGGAAATTAAATCAGAAGTCAATAAAAAGTGTGGAGACTTCAATGATGAGGGACAATTTGGTGGTGGCCTGAGTTTCTTCTTTATTTCAGTTTATCTGGGATGAAATAAAAGTCTCATTCGGTTATAGAAAGAAAGATTTGTTAAAACTTCAATGAGTAAAGAAATGTATACGTGACTTTGAGTTTTAGTTACAACACCAGAGATCTTAGAAATCAGAGGGACTTCAGACATCATCTAGTTCTATCAGCTCATTTTACACATGAGAAACTGACCATTAGGGAAAGCACAGTGGCTATTTTGTTTGAGAATAGATTATTTTACTTCTAGGGTCCTATTCAATACGTTTTTGAAACTGAGGCCTAAAGAGGTTAAGGAAATTGCCCAAGGATACAGAGCTGACTGTGGGAGTGAGAGTTTCCAGTAGAATCCAGGTTTTAGGATTCCTTATCTATTTACAACTCTTTTCATACTTCAAGGTACTTACATCTCAAAACAATGATCCTTTGTGTAGTGTCTCACACACTCCGAAGAAACAGCTATAAACCTGGCAATCACATACGTACCTTTGGATTATTTTTTAATTCCCAGTGTGGTGAGTCACATAGTAAAATAAAGCTGGCGTATTAAGATGCCATATCAGGAACTAATTAAAAGGGAAAGAAAGGCACTTGGATGAACTTTGTAATTTCCTCTCAGTCTTTTGACAAATGTAACCTTGAATGCTGACCTGCTTTCAATGCAAATTTTCTCTTGACAGTTGGTACTTTTCGTGGATCCAGCAGAGCTCCTCCTACATAAAACAAAGGCTTTAGTCCTAAGGTTATTGAAAATCCATTAAGCTGAGAAGCTGTTCCTTGAGGCAAAGTTCAGTGCTACTGCAGAAGAATTCAATTACAACTGGACATATTCACATAGAGTAAGTCTGGAACTTTCACTTGGCAGTGGCGGGGCGGGGGGGAGGGGAGTTTGACGTTGATAGATAACTTATTTTTGAGTCATTGGTTCATTTTCTCCATATGTTTAAAATGGGCTCATGAATCTTTTTGATAAAAAGTAGTTGTTTGATTTTGTATAAAAGTAATTTGGGGAAAAACTACATTCTTGTATGAAGTTCATTAAACGTGCTGGATCATCAGTATGGCTAGCACTGTTGCTTTAATTTTTAGTGCTATTTTCCTATTATCCTTTAATTCCTATAAAATTGTTCCTCTTTTAAGCAAATCTGGTCCTTTGGAGACAGTAAGCATAGTTGTAGTTTAGAGTTAGGACATTCTTTGAGGTTTATTTTCTGTGTGATGTTTTTCTCTAGATGAGAACCTTCCACTTTGCAGCAGCTTCACTTTATTAAACTCAAAGATGGCCGGAGAGCTTTTCTGAAATGAATGATTTCATTTGGTGTTTTGACTTAATTTAGAAGAGCATTATGGCTACATGTAGAGTAGTATTATTAAACGCACATTCTAATTTCCCCTGCTTTTGCTCTGAAATGAATCAAGCATCACTTAAATATGAATATCACTTTGACATGTTGCACTCATTTTGGATGCTTCCAGAGTAGTTTTCTTCTTTTAATATAAAACAGGTACACAAAACCAGGACACTGATATCATTGATTTCCCAGCAACTTTTGATTGAAATTTTATGAAATTATAGGATGTTTTAGAGAGTTCAAGATTGAAATAAATTCCATGCATTTATTATGTACTTATTATTACTTTTTAAATGGGGAGAATACCAAACTAAAGCCAAGCAATTTGGTTTTCAGTTCTATGTCTCTTCTGCATAGTCTGTGGCTTTCGGATGGACATGCCACTTTGTCTTACTTTCTTCATCTGAAAAATGGGCCAGATATCCTGACTCTGCCTATTGTGATAAAAAATGGCAATAAAATGTTAGAAATGATGAATTAAACAGTAGGATACAACAAAGGAGAGGCAGAACACCTATTCAATTGATTTTATTTTTTCAATGCTAAGATCTTACCTTAAATGAAAAGCTATTTTCAGGATTATTTTTTTTTCTGGAGATAAGTAAAGTATATCATCTGTATTTTGCTACAAGTTGGGAGAGTTGGAGTAAGGTGCGTGGCTTGTTCCTTTTCATATATTTTTCAGTGTCATCAAGGAAGTGAGGAGGTGGCTCCTAGATATGGGAGAAGCAGAGGGCTCCTAAAAATTGAGCTATTATGCCCACGGTGCTAAAAACATTTTACATGCTCTATCCCTATCCCATTTAATCATTTCCTAAGCCCTATGGTGGCAAGCATTATTGCCTTTGTTTTATAGATAAGGAAATGGAGGTAGAGAGTTGGAGTGTCTTGCCCAGGTCCATGGGGGCTTTCTCCATTGTTCCATGCTAATGTTACAGTCATTCTAAAGCAATGGTGAGAAGAAAAGCTCTTTGGAATCATGTCTTCCATTCTGTCTGTAAAATCAAGACTTATGCTGTGGAGATAGAAAACGTACAGGGTCACGTGGAACAGCTCAGCAGATGCCAACAGCCATTGACAGATGCCTGCCTACAACACTTATCTTTATTGACTTGTCAGAGACCCCTGCCTGAGATTTGATCAATAGTCATTACGTTGGAAGAGTTTTTGGGAAGAGATTTTGTCTTGTTTTGTTTGCAAGTGGAGATGTTTGCAGGAGAGGGGTCGCTTTCTAATGCATGTATTTCTAGAAAAGTTCATTTATAAAATCTTTTTAAAAATATTTATTTATTAGGGCTGGCGCTGTGGCATAGTGGGTAAAGCCGCTGCCTGTAGTACTGGCATCTCATATGGGCGCCAGTTCAAGTCCCGGTTGCTCCACTTCCCATCTAGCTCTCTGCTATGGCCTGGGAAAGCAGTAGAGGATGGCCCAAGTCCTTGGACCCCTGCACCCACGTGGGAGACCCGGAAGCTCCTAGCTCCCGGCTAAGGATCAGCGCAGCTCCTGCCGTTGCGGCCAATTAGGGAGTGAACCAGTGGGTGGAAGACCTCTCTCTCTCTCTCTCTCTACTTCTCCTTCTCTCTCTTTGTAACTCTGCCTTTCAACTTTATTTGAAAGAATTTCTTTATTTGAAAGAGTTACAGAGAGGCAGAGGTAGAGAGAAAGAGGTCTTTCATCTGCAAGTTCACTCCCCAAATGAGTGCAACAGCCAGAGCTGGGCAGATCTGAAACCAGGAACCAGGAGCCTCTTTCAGGTCTCCTAAGTGGGTGCAAGGGCCCAAGGACTTGGGCCATCTTCTACTGTTTTCCCAGGCCATAACAGAGAGCTGGATTGGAAGTGGAGCAGCTGGGACGTGAACTGGTGTCCATACGGGATGCTGGCACTGCATACGGTGGCTTCACCTGCTTACAACACAGTGCTGGCCCTTATTTATAAAACCTTTTATCACATAATACTTTAGTAGGCAGTGTGGAATAGGATAAAGAGCTCAGATTTTGGAGTGATGCAGACCTGGGATTGTATTATGATTCCATTTTTTGAACTTGCACATGATATGTCATCTCACAGAACTTGGCTTTCTTCTTGAGCAAAACAGATGATAATGCATATGCTGAGGCCCTTAGTATAATAATCATAATATTTTGGAACACCTGCTATCAGTAGCTATGGTAGTGTGGGAACAACACTGGAATCACTTGGAGACTTGGAGTCCTGCTGTATTTGTTTCATTCACTCAGGGAATTATTTGTTGAACTTGTATTATGTGTCATGCACTATACCAGGCACTGGGGATACGGCAATGAGCAATCTGAAGTCCTTGCTTTCTTATATAGTAAATTCTAGTTCAGTGTGAATCCAACTACATGCATATCCTGATCATGTAGAGAAGGATTGATATTTTTCACATTTTAGAGATGGGATATTAGGCTTAAATGATGCAGTGATGAGCAAAATAAACATTATCCCTGACCTCTTTGAGTTTACAGTCTAGTATAGTAGAAATTAATCAAATAAGTTCACGAATTAATATAAGATTAAAACCACAATGTATCTCTAAAGGAAAGGTGCTTACTTCAGCTTCAGCAAGTATCATCTGAGAGTTGAAGAATGAATCAGTGCTATGCAGATCCTACTCAGTTTCTTCTGGATTTTTCTTGGATCTTCTACATTGTCTTTGGTGACTATTGCACACTTTATACTCTCTTTTTAAGCCTCTTACTCAGCTACTACATGTTTATGCTTAGGAGGTTGGCTTACTTCCTGTTTCACGTTGAAAATCATAGATATTGTGTGTGCCTGGACCTCTTATCCACACACCTGCTTATATTTTACACACATATTGACTTTGATTTTCACCCGTGCTTTTGTTCTCAGAGGAAAAACTAGTCCTACATTAGTCCAAATCCTATCTCTCAACCTGTGTTTTAGACCCTGTTCCACCATCTTGCTTTCTCAGTGATACCTTTACATAACTTCCTCCTTCCTGTTTTGTATTTTTGACTTTTTCCTCTCAGTGAGTTCTCAGAAACAACTAAAAAGGGACCTCTTTTCTTGACCCTTTCCTGTACAACCAAGTCCCATACAACCTATATAACTAAGTTTCAATAAAAAATGGTCTGCAAATACAGCTGCCTTTACCAACACCACTGATTACTCCCTATTTCCAACTGCAACATACATATTTCCATTTATTTCCCTCCATGTACCCCTCCGCCTTTGGCACGTGAAGTACTTTACTTTCTAATATTCTTTTTTTGAAATCATCTGCTTTGCTAGTTTTTGTGATAGCACTTTCTCCTGTCCTTCCTGCTTTCCTCATTACTCTTCAGTCTTGTTTGTGAGCTACTAGATTGAAAATCTATCTGTAAATTCAATTGTCCCAGTCTCTCTACAATCTCTCTCATTGCATTTTCAACTGGTCACTAAGGCTGTCTACTTTACCTTCCAACTAATATATTTTATATGTTTTTTTTTCAGGGTATTATTATTATCATAGTATGTACCATCATTGTGTCTGTCCTGAACTATTGCAAAAGTTTCCTAACTTGTTGCTTTTGTCCCTCTTCTTTCACTTCCCAGATCTATTCTAAGGGTGGCAAAAGCCAAATCTCTAGTTTGTATGCGTTATCCTGGGCTATTAGAGCATAACCCTCACGTTTAAAAGTCCCTCAGTATCTGCCTATAATAGTCAAAAGTCATTAAACATAGCTCCAAATTTTTGAACATAGCTCAGAAGGCATGCATGTCTGTGTACATACTGTACTCAGGCCCAAACAAACTACTTATAGATCCCTGAATTTGTTAAGCTGTATCAATTCCCAGCACTTGCTTAATCAAATCTTATTAGAAGAAATCCTTCCTGAAAATTCCCCTTCACCTCCTTGGCAAACACTTCCTCTTTATGAGATAACTTAAGTACTACATCCTTTAAAGACTCTTACCTGACTGCCACTCCCAAGACCAGATTGAATACCTCTCCTCTGAACTTCTAAGTGCTTGTCTCCTTCCTGGAACTTACCACATCTTCTTCATTTATTTATTTTATTTCTTTATTTTTTAAGAAAGTTTTATTTAATGAATACAAATTTCATAGGTTCAGTTTTAGGAATATAGTGGTTCTTCCCCCCATACCCACCTTCCCACTCCCACTCTCATTCCACCTCCTACTCCGTCTCCCATCCCATTCTTCATTAAGATTCATTTTTAATTATCTTTATATACAGAAGATCAGCTCTATACTAAGTAAATATTTCAGCAATTTTCAACCCCCCCAAAGTTTAAAGTACTGCTTGAAAATAAGTTTTACAGTTAATTCTCATACTACAAGGACAGCGGTCTTTCATGGGGAGTAAGTGCACAGAGAATCCTATTGTTGATTTAACAATTAACACTCTTATTTATGATATCAGTGATCAACTGAGGCTCTTGACATGAGCTGCCAAGGCTATGGAAGCCTTTTGAGTCCACAAACTCTATTAGTATTTA